GTCTTTTACTTACATTTATGCACAACGTCCTGCTTCGTGTCCTTACGTAGCATTGACAGGTATCCTTCAAACAATCTCTCTGGTTTTGCGTAACGACCAGCGTGAGCAGCATTTTGGATGGTGACTTGGGATTTCGTCTTGACCTATTACTGATTCCAACTGTCTAATTCTAGCTTCGTTTGTAACACCTAAACTTTGTTGACTGGAACAGGAATCTAAACCATGAGATGTGCTTTGTACTATATTTTCTTAACTATCGCTTCTTTTTACGACCCCCTTCGTTAAAGGGTGATCTATTGTCACTATTGTCTCGTCTCGTCGGAATATAAATACGTTCAGATCGTACGCCTATAGAGTCTAAAATCTTTGCTCATCGTTCTTAACACGATCAAAATACCAAGTTCTTAACACTATCTTAACACGAATCACTGAATAACTTAACTAATGGTATCCTTTTTAGTTACGTAACAACTTAAGTTTTCTGCACGGCCTTATATAAAGTATTTCACTAACGACACGTACGTTTTTCTATAACAAAGGTAAGCAGTTTTAGTTCACCCCACACCTGAACTGTAAACTATGTTAATTAATTTTAAATGATATAAATCAGATTTTAATATAGAATCGAATTTAATCGGTGTTAAGAATAATAATAATAATAATACATAAAATGCAACATATCGAATGAATGTATATGAAAGAATGCCGTGCTAATCAAATATTCTTATGTGTCCCAGTTCGACGTATCGTTCTACAAAATATGAGTAGCACTCGTGAATCATGACAGGGTGGTCCTAGCCTAGCGATAAACGAAACATCCGAGTGGTTACAAAAAATAACGTAGTAGATCACTGTTAAATTATTCACATCATAAAAACAAATTTTGGAACCTATACCATTGCATTCAATTCTAAATGGTATTTTACTATTTTTAAAAGTTATGTTGCGTGCACCTTTTAACGTTATCAGTGCTCTAAATTACAATTGCCAATCTACATTTCTCTCTCAGATAGTTCAATTATAAATTTATTCCAAAAAAAAAACTATCAAAATCAATAAATAATATAATTTATTCGAGAGCTAGATGATTGGTAAGTTACTTTTTAAAACAATAAGCTTCATAGTGGCAATTTTTTTTTAAACACGAAAATAACATTTCTATCGGCTACATGCAATTATTTGCCTCTACAGGATGACGATATTTCAAATGAATACCACCAATATCGCCAATAACAATTTCAAACAATTATTAGTGAACTGACACAATAACAATCTCAAACAATCAATCAACTAATAAATTTAACGAATTAATACAAAAATTACATTCGCCAATATGGCCAATAACAATATTAACAATTAATCAACTGATAAATTTAACGAATTAATAATCTTGGAAATGCTCACAGGAATAGTCAACCACCATGTACTTCCGTGGTACTTTTAGTGAGTGAATCCCACTTCTGATCTTAGATTTTATTATCAAGTCAAATAATTATTTATTTACCAAATGATCACCGATAGAACACAATGCATAAGAATTAGCCATCACCCACATTAGACACTCAAGGCAGCTCACTTCGTTCTGCCTGGGGAGGTGTCGACAATACTACCGCAAACGTTTCCTCGTACCCCCCCGCTGTTGACTGCCGTTGTTCTATTTATCATGTTACAATGAGTAATCACACAAAAATTTGTTTACCTGCTAATATGTATATATATCCAGGAAGTAATTTTTCCTGGGGAAACTTTTTTCCAGGAAACGAGGAAAAAATAATTTCATAAAAAGTGGCATTTTGTTACCTGACAAGAGAGATAAAATGTCAAACTTTTTTCCAGTCACAAAAAAAAAATATATTTTTGTCTTCTCTTCTTAATTTTCTAATTTTCCCCTAAATATTGCCTCCATTAATATCTACTAAAAGTTTATCAAAAGTAGGTATCTTTTTTTATAAATAAAATGAATGCACTTTTCTTCGGATCAGTTGTTTCATAGTACGTACCTTCTATTTGAATGAGTTTTCTTTCAGTGCTGCTGTAATACTTTCATCCTTTCGTTGTTTCAAAAGTCTATAAATGGTTGTTTCTCCATTTCTCCATATTTGAAAACTTAGAAACTATACTCCAAACAGTACTATTGAAATGTTCATGTACAAAAGTGTCATGTACATTTAACACTTAATAATGTTCTTATATGCACGGTTAAATTGCATTTTAATTTCACAGGAGTATAATTAGACGTTTGTACCATTTTTATTGCACAAATTCACTTGATCAATATCGCTTTTTATCACCTATTATTACAGAACAAACAATTCTGCGTGTTACAATCACAGGACTGTACAAACAGAAATGTATATATCAACTAAAATAATTTACAATCTGCATAATACTTTCTGCCGATTAGAAATTTTAATCCTTTCTAAGAAAGTTGAGGGCTGTAGAGATTACATACTTTTTGTTAATTAAAATAATTAAAGCATTTAAGACAAGAATCGAAATAAATTGGTATATTTAAAAAATTTAGTAAGAAAACCAAAGATTTTATTTTGGAACAAATATTTTTTTGTTAGTTTGCATTGCACCTAGCTATATTTCAGCCAACCAGCATTTTTTAAGTAAACTTAAGACGCTTAACACTAAGTTTTCACCCAATGGTATGTTCTCCTTTCTATTATGATAACTATACACTGCACACGCGCACTGTGGTCTGCTTTAACACACTTTCACATCACAAACAACTAATGCTAAACATTTTATTTTAGAAATTCTTCGTTACTGATTTATGATCTTATATTGGGCTTTATCTCCTGGATCATAAAAAATTTGCTATCATTCATTTTCAAATAAACTATAGTATAGTAATAATTATATAGTATATCAATAATGTAATTATGTAGAATAGTAATGATGTAGTATAGTAATGAAGGAGTCTATTAATGTATTCTAGTAATGGTGTACTTTGAATAGTACCTAATTATATTGTGTATAAATGTGTGGTATAGTAATTATGTAAGTAATATTGTAGACCTATTTTCCTGGACAATGTCTCAAGGAACCAGAAACATATTGTGCAACGGCGAGACAGCCGATCGCAAAAGACAGGCACTTTTTGGAAAACCAAAGTTATTAGGCTGCAATGTTTTTGTAGACTATAGTATAGTAATTATGTAATATGTAGTATAGTTATTGTGTAATATGTAGTAAAGTAATGATACAATTTACTACTTATTATGTTGTATAGTAATTATTGTCTAGATACCTACCTTGGTTTCAAGCTGTGTTGAAAACCAATATGGGATGAGTAACATTAAAAAAATATTCATTTGGTAAAATACTAGATGTATAAACTGGAACGATGTGCGATCTGTCTACAATATAAATACTGATGGTTAAGAATGGGTGCATAAGAAATATTGTGAAGTCTCCAACCCACAATTGTACGAAGGCGTAGAACCGCCACAAATTTTTTTTTTCAAATTCCGACTTATATCTCGGAATTCCGACTTGTATCTCGGAATTCCGACTTGTAACTCGGAATTCCGAATTGTAACTTAGAATTCCGACATACAACTCGGAATTTAAGTTAAGAAGTCTGAAATCTACGAAGGCGTAGAACCGCCACAAAATTTTTTTTTTCAAATTCCGACTTGTATCTCGAAATTCCGACTTGTAACTCGGAATTCCGAGTTGTAACTCGGAATTCCGACATACAAATCGAAATTCCGACTTGTATCTCGGAATTTCGACTTGTATCTCGGAATTCCGACTTGTATCTCGGAATTCCGACTTGTATCTCGGAATTCCGGCTTGGATCTCGGAATTCCGACTTGTATCTCGGAATTCCGACTTGTTGTATCTCGGAATTCCGACTTGTAACTCGGAATTCCGACATACAACTCGGAATTCCTACATACAACTCGGAATTTAAATTCAGAGGTCTGAAATCACAATTGATAGTGAATAAAGACCACGATTAAACATGCTGTGTATTTTGATTGTCATTTTGGAGTAGATAATGAATTTCTTAAATTTTTGAAATTGTTTATTAAATAGACTAAGATAGTAAGCTAGCGAATAGTGGTAATAGAACTGGTTTGTTCTGAAACATTTCTTAAATATGACTAATTTTAAGTTCAATTTACTTAATTTTTTCAATGTATATTATCTTAGCATAAAATCCCTTATAAATTTGTCTATACAGCGATACCAATATGCGTAATTGATCGATAGTTGTTTTATTATTAGAAATACGAAAATATACATTTTTATTTGCCAGACAAAAAGGCAACACCCTGTATCTCCAAAAATATTTTTAAATCACATATTTTTTAAATCCATACAACTTTTATTCGAAACTTGTTTGCGTGTCAATAACACAAATTGAAATATTGAACAATTACACACTAATGGAACACCATGTATAAAACTTTATCTATAATATAGAATTTTGGATTATTGGAAATATTTTAAGGTTTTTCTATGAAATCCTGTAAACAAACATCGAGGGTATTATGTAGGTTCTTTAAGTTGTTATTCCAGAATAAATATAAATAAATATTAAGGATATTATTGTTTATTTAATTTGTTTAATATGTTTATTTTTGTTTTTCATTACGGTTTTTGCAGGATATCTTGTTAATATCAATATTATTTAGTTTGTTTAAATTGTATAATACTTTTATTTTTATGTTTTTGATTAATTTTTGACGATGTGAAAAAAGTCAAATATGTATAACTACCTGCAGGGTGTTTTGTATTAATATAAAGGATATTATTTAGTTTGTTTAGTGTTTTGTTGTTGTATATTGTATAATTTGTTTTTATAGTTTTTATTAATGGTTTTTCAGGATACCCTTAAAAGTCATGAATGTTTAGCTTGTTTTTATTTTCATTTTTTTATTTATGTTTTTCATTAATTAAATTAAAAACTCTTAGCTAATTTGTGTATTTATTCCAAATATCAAAGAAAAAATATATTAAAATACATATTTATTATCTGTTCGATACAAAGTAACAAGTCAATTAATTAATAATAAAATTAAATTTCTTAATTGTATGTATAAATATAATGCTGAATTATGATCTTTCACTGGTGGGTATCTGTTTTCTGAAATTAAAATTCTGCACAAATAATATGTCTTTGTCACATGGATATTCGTTGAATGTGCAGTGATCGAAAAGGGAATCAACAGAAAAATTTGTAATTTCAACACAATAGTTCTTTGCTCCATAAAGAGACGATATGTCGAACATTATTGCAGGTCTTCCAGTAGGTGCTATACTATTTCTAGATTTACTTATTTTATGCACATTCCACTCCATAACAACTTCGTTGAGGTCCTCCTTAAATTAATAATTAATATTATTAATAATAATAATAATCTCTTTTGAGATTTATTTAATAAATTTATAGTATTTTTACTTTTTAAACAAGAATTCTTACCTAAATCAGAGTCATAAAACAAAATTGGACGAGAGACTTATCCAAAAAATCACCACAAAAATAATCTTCATCTTTCAACGTTTGAAAAAAATTCATCCAAAATTGTGTATTATGTTTTCGCAAAATAGACCACCATGCTTCTATTCTTTGATTTTACACACTTTATCCATATAAAAAACAGGGTTTAGAAGAAGGAGTTTGGATCTTCTCAATTATTTTATTTTCGGTACCTAAATCACACCTTACACTTTTAGGTCAACCACCAACCATTTTTATTCCTTCTAAGTAATATCCTGCAATAACCTACAACAAAAAATTCTACAGAATGCAGAAAAAATTATGATGTTTTACTTCGACTGAGGAGTGCGTTTAGAAACCTCGCACGGCGCGTCTCACCACATACATTAGAATAGGGTCCAGACGTGCCGTGGGTGGTTTCTAAACGCACTCCAGTAGAAAGAGTAATAATTGACATTTCAACGACCTGTTAAACAATAAGTCTCGGTGGGAAGGGCTCGTATATCTAAGGGGGTTGCGCTATAGCCTTCCAGATTGGACGCTATTTTTATTCGAAATAGTAGTCGTCAAACCTGTCAATTTATGAAAAACGTTTAAATAGTTAATTTAAAAATAAAATTTTCATTGGGTTCGACATAAAAGATTTAATCAATGTTTCATGATTTCACTTGTTGTAGATATAATACATCGTATGTCGCAACCTCTTAGATATACCAAACCCTTTACCACCGACAGCCATTCTGTTTGGAATGCTTAATAATTATATTAATTTACCTTTGGATCACTAGCTGTAGGTCCCGCTCGAAGCCAAATTATATGTCTAGAAAATCCGTCAATGCAACCATTAATACAAATTCCATATGGTTTTAGTTTATCGTATGAATCAATGTGCCATAAATAGTTTGGACCTTTATTGTGATATTGTCGACGTCTTAATCGTTTTCTAATTTCCACACCTTCCGGATCTAACAATCCAAGCAGTTCTCTGTCGATATCTTGGGTGACTACAAGATTTTTTTGGAGACATTTTAAGTACATCCATCGATATCCATGAAGTTGTCCACATTTTTTAATTTCGCTTCCTATAAAATTCTTCGATTTTGGAATATTTTTTTCGTCTATATAGTTGACGTTTTTTCAAAATTCTTTGCAAGATACGAAGGGAAACACGCTTATTGTGCAATATATTTAAGAATTGTAAAATTTCCTTTTGCTGAAATCCATATGAAAAATATGTCTTTGCCAGATCTTCTGTATTACTTGACTGGTAAATAAATTTTGTTTATTAATCGAAATATATTATAAATTCATAGAATTATTCACATTAAGATTTTTGTTACTTACATTATTCGAGGAACTCATAGAGCCATGAATAGAGATGTACTGTGTCTCAATAACTGAACGCTAAAACACAATAATAATAATAATAATAATAATAATATGTTACACTTACTACATTTAAGAAATTTATTACCTACTCCAAAATGCGAATCAAAACACACAGCACGTTTAATCGAGGTATTGATTCAATATCAGTTGTGATTTCAGCTTTCTTAACTTGAATTCCGACTTGTAACTCGGAATTCCGACATACAACTCGGAATTCCGAGTTACAAGTCGGAATTTCGAGTTTCAAGTCGGAATTCCGAGATATAAGTCGGAATTCCGAGATACAAGTCGGAATTTGAAAAAAAAAATTTTTGTGGCGGTTCTACTCCTTCGTAGAAATCACAACTGATATTGAATAAAGACCTCGATTAAACGTCTGTGTATTTTGATTGGCATTTTGAAGTAGGTAATAAATTTCTTAAATGTAGTAAGTGTAACATATTATTATTAATGTGTTTTATTTTAGCGTTCAGTTATTGAGACACAGTGCATCTCTATTCATGGCTATGAGTTCCTCAAATAATGTAAGCAAGAAAAATCTTAATGTGTATAATTTTATTCGTTTATAACATATTTCTATTAATAAACAAAATTTATTTACCAGTCAAGTAATACAGAAGATCTGGCAAATACATATTTTTCATGAGGAAATTTTACAATTCTTGGATATACTGTACAATAAGTGTGTTTCCCTTCGTACCTTGCAAAGAATTTTGAAAAAACGTCAACTACATAGACGAAAAAATATTCCAAAATCGAAGATGTTGTATAGGAAGCGAAATTAAAAAATCTGGACAACTTCATAGATATCGATGGATGCACTTAAAATGTCTTCAAAAAAATCTTGTAGTCACCCAAGATATCGTCAGAGAACTGCTTGGATTGTTAGATCCAGAAGGTGTGGAAATTAGAAAACGAAAACGATTAAGACGTCGACAATATCACAATTTAGGTACCGAAAATAAAATAATTGAAAAGATGCAAAAATCATATCATGCATTGTTTATCCAAACTCCTACTTCCAAACCGTGCTTTTTATACAGAAAAAGTGTATAGTCAAAGAATAGAAGCATGATGGTCTTTGCGAAAACATAATACACAATTTTGGATGATTTTTTTTTAAACGCTGAAAGATGAAGAATATTTTTGTGGTATTTTTTTGGATAAGTCTCTCATCCAATTTTGTTTTATGACTCTGATTCAGATAAGAATTCTTGTTTAAAAAGTAAAAATATAAATTTAATAAATAAATCTCAAAAGAGATCATTATCATTATATCATTATCATTATTAAATTATTAATAATATCAATTATTAATTTAAGGAGGACCTCAACGAAGTTGTTATGAAGTGGAATGTGCATAAAATAATTAAATCTAGAAATAGTATAGCACCTCCTGAAAGACCTGCAATAATGTTAGACATACCGTCACTTTATGGAGCAAAGAACTATTGTGTTGAAATTCCAAATTTTACTGTTGATGCCCTTTCCGATGACTGCACATTCAACGAATATCCATGTGACAAAGACATATAATGATTTGTGCAGAATTTTAATTTCAAAAACAGATACCCACTAGTGAAAGATCATAATTCAGCATTATATTTATAGTTACATACAATTAAGAAATTTAATTTTATTATTAATTAACTGATTTTTTACTTTGTATCGAACAGATAATAAATATGTATTTTAATAAAACTTACTTTAATAGTTGTATATTTTTTTGATATTTGGAATAAATACAAAAATTAGGCAAGAGTTTTTAATTTAATTAATGAGAAACCTAAAAGTATGAAAATAAAAACAAGCTAAACATTCATGACTTTTAAGGGTATCCTGAAAAACCATTAATGAAAATTATAAAAACAAACAAATTATACAATAAACAACAACATGACCCTACCCCTACAGGGTTGATGCGAAGAAAATAAAAAAAAATATTAATAGACCTTTCCCCACACAACCTCAGTCGACTTCAAGAATTAAAATTTTCTCTTAAGGGGCTGAATTATGGAGAGTATTAGTATTATTATTATTAATTTATTGTATTAACACTTTTTTATTGAGAGTCAAATATGAAGTTCATTCAAAAGTGGCCGACAATTGGCGAAGTCGCCCTACTAACAGTATAAGTACTTACTATTGAAACCATAAATAGCGTGGAACAAAACGCCAAAAAACACATCATTGTAAATGAAAAATAAATGAATCCATAAAGATTTTCAGTATTGGAAGCAAATCTAAAATCATAAAACATTTTATCATTATGAATTTAAAATTAACCAAAAATCATTTATTATAGTACCTAATTAGGTACCTCTATTACTTATTAATAACTACCTATAATATTAATTAATAAGTTTCATAAAAGACACTGTGTCTTAAGGCGGCAGTTTAAACCTAACCTATTTAGACTTCTGAGCCGTTACATATATAAGACACGAACCTCCTTTCGTAAGGTAATTTGCTCAAAACTATTTCCTCTAAGTTTACTCGCTAGGTGAATATAAGGTCAAAGCGCTGAATGATAGAAATACATAAACAGCGATAGGTACCAGTTTTTATTCAAATTCCGATATACCTTTTTTTGTTGAAATCGAAATACCTAGGTATGGTTGACACGGAAGTATTTTAAAAAACAATAACAAATAATAAGGGGATACCTACTATATTTGTTAAATCTGTAGGCTGGTTCACGAGCTAGGAGGAGCCTATCTCCTTAGGAGGATGCACAATGGGCCTAGTGAGGCCTAAGTGCCGTGGGTTAACCCACCATCTACACGTTACAGACACAGATACCTACTACATTTGTTTTTGTGCGTCATTTTTTGATTCAAATCGTAATTATTGTAAAGACTGACTTTATTACGCTAATAGAATTTTCTGAGTACGCACAAGCCAAGTAGTAGTTTGTGCAACAGTAGTGGATAGATAAGATGACCAAATTGCACGAAGACGAAGTTTGAGCAAAACGCCACATAGCTAGAGTCCGATAGGAAGAAACCACTAGAAATTGTATAGTATATTTTTTCTACCAATCACTGATAAAGTTTTATAAAGTAATTTAGAGGTAATTAACAAAAAATAACTATTTCAAATATATTTAACTCAAAGATTTAAATTTCTAGATTTTACTAATTTATAAAATAAAATAAACTTTGGCTTCAACCCGGACTTGAACCACGTACCTTTTGCACGGGAACTTTTCAGATATACTATCGCACAGATATACTACAATTGATTTCCCCTTAACATTTATAACTAAATTGATTTTTGATAATTTTATTACAATTTACCCAAATGTACGGTTTCTTTATAACTATTAACGATGAATATACAGTGTGTAATAGTTAAATAAATTCAATAGCTCAACTACTGTGCATATTTAGTAAAAAATCCCGAAACACGTCATTTTTAGATTATAAAATAATATCCTCCGATGTGAAAGTTTCACCCTACCTTCAACCACCTTCGACTAACAGTTGCAACCACCAAATTTGTAAGTACCTCATTTGAAAGGTATCTTCATTGTCTATTCAAATATGCTGTGATTTTCAAAATTATTGCAAAAATTAACAGTAAAAAAAATTAATTCATCTGATCAACGAAATTCGCTACAAATTCGCTAAACAATTAATAACTAATAGACTATCGTTCTTGACAATGAGAAAGCAATCAAAAATAATTTGCCTTAATCAAAGTATGTGCTTTGATTACTATACGAGGCAAGAGAGAGGTCCGACACGCCCAACATAGGGCGCGGCCATTTTGAACCCTGTGACACAGTTTACAGCTAAAGAATCAGATCGCTCACTCTGCGTCGGCACTTTTGATCTCAATGTTTTAGTTTATAAACTGTGCAACTCGGATAATACAATATATGACAACCGCCTATAATAAAACAGCAGTCTTCTGCGTATCCTGAATTTGTATCCCTGGAGTGGATATTATTTTGGAACTTTCAACTGGTCCGAGTGAACTAACTGATTCTTTAGCAATAAACTGTGACTTCAAACATAATATTCACTGACACTGACAGCAGCAAGCAAAATATCAGGTGCGTTTTAATTATCCGCTTCTGCTTCCGGAATTGTCGGTTTAGTCGTTTTAACCTGTCAGATTAAAACAAGAAAACCGACAATTCCGAAGCAGAAGCGGATGATTAAAACGCACCTATTAAAAATATTGCGCCAAGATGTAGGCAACACGTAATAAGGGTTCAAAATGGCGGAGTTTTCTATCTCCTTTTAAAAGGCACTCAGAAAGCTGCGCAGTGCGACCATTCTCCGTATAGTAAAAGAAAATCAAAGTATGTGATATGGGTCACAGTTTATTGCTAAAGAATCAGTTAGCTTACTCGGACCAGTTGAAAGTTCCAAAATAACATCCACTCCAGGGATACAAATTCAGCATTCGCAGAAGACTGCTGTTTTATTATAGGCAGTTGTCATATATTGTATTATCTGAGTTGCGCAGTGTATAAACTGGAAGATTGAGATAAAAAGTGCCGACGCAGAGTGAGCGATCTGATTCTTTAGCTGTAAACTGTGTCACAGGGTTCAAAATGGCCGCGCCCTATGTTGGGCGTGTCGGACCTCTCTCTTGCCTCGTATAGTAATCAAAGTATGTGGTGTTGGACCTCTCTCTTGCCTCGTATAGTAATCAAAGTATGTGGGTATGGGTCAATGAACTGGAGTGGGGTAGAAAGCTAATGTGCATATTTTATCAATTGAACAAGATGCGACTCTATGGGCGCAGCCATTTTTATTTCTCATCTCACTCGGGAGTATTTATAATAACCATTTTCTGTTTCATATTGTTATTGTTCAATCCACAGGCTGGTGGATCAGACAATAACAAAGTGAAATAGAAAATGGTCGTTATAAATACTTCCGAGTGAGATGAAAAATAACCTGTCTTCGCCCATAGAGTCGCATCTCAAGCCTATTGACAAGCATTCTACCCCACTCCAGTTCATTGGTATGGGTAGACAGATCAGTGGTAGGGTCCGATTACAAGTAGAAGAACACCGCTACGTCATAACCATTACTTTGATTTTCGAATATATATTATCTATAACTATCAATAAATAAAAAATAAGTAAGGTATTAGGTATAAAACAATATTTCCTATATTCTTATAATATTAACACTCCACTAAATCCCCAGTAGACGGCGATAACCAATTAATTACTTTGCCAAATGATGACGTAGCTGTGTTCTTCTAATTGTAATCGCACCATTAGAAAAACAATGTATATTTTTGACATCTGAACAAATATAACTATTATACCTGACCTATAGATACCTTGCAATTTTTCCATAATATTGCGCAAATCTTTTCATGTTGCTAATGTCGGTCGTGTTTTCTAGCTGATGACACAACTGTTCGCATTGATATTCCATAAAAAGACAAAATCCAACCATAAAATAGTCTGAAATTACGTTTATAGCCGAAATCATTCCCAAAGCCGTAGCCTGATACATATATAAAATTATTCCTTTATTGCTTGTAATTACAGCTTCACAATGAGTGTGTCCGTCACCTAGAAAAAGCCACTTGTATAGTATAGGGTGTAACAAAAAGATTGGTAATAAATTATAGGGGAGGGACGGCCAAAGTGAAATAGGGATCTATTCTGTAAAAATTCCTTTATATTTAACGGCCTTTAAAAATATTGGAGGCCTTTAAAAGTATATTTGTATTCGTTAATTTACTTCTGTTATTATTTAAACAGATTTCTTTAAGATAGTTCTCTAATGTATTTTAAAGATCCGTTTAAATAATGACAGAAGTAAAGAAGAAAATATTTTTAAAGGCCGTTAAATATAAAGGAATTGTTACAGAATAGACCCCATAGTCGGGCAAAGTGAAATTTCGGTTTAACTTTTTTTTTAAATTGACGTGCCTAAATTTTTCTGTCACAGTAATTTAACTTGATCTAGTTTGCATCTCTGAATGTAATATAATATGGCTATTGTAGTTTCAATTGTTTGCACGGTGTATGAACTTTTAGTATTTTGCGATAAAAATTGTAATATTTTGAGTGTCTTGTGGAAGATACCAACAATAAACGGTAAGAGATTTTTGCCGGTTTTTTTTTATTACTTACCGTGTCACAGCTGGTAAAGTGAAAAATGGGTGCTGCGGGTAAAATGAAAAATAGGTGCTGCGGGCAAAGTGACAAATATATGCTGCGGGCAAACTGAAATATTTACCATAAAATTCATGGAAAACGTCAATAATATTTTCGATGGGCCGACAAAGTAGATATAATGACTTCCACAGAATACGAGATTCATATGATTATTAACGAGCCAAAGGCACTGAGGCGTGGCTTTTTTGATGTACCCGAATTAGCCACCTATGCCAACCCATAAAATAATATTTTTTTCCTTTGTGGTACATTAAACCATTATTATTCTTATATTTTGTATTAATTCACTTTGACCTCATAAAAATTTTACTTTGCCAGCAACATGCCCAGATAGCATAAATACGTCTTATGGACGTTCTAAAAACGCCCTGCTTGAACATTCAGGACATCATTAAAACGAGTTCACGGACGTGGACGTCTTATGAACGTCTTTGGAACGTCCATTGTTAATAATTAGGATGTCTTAAGAACGTCCATTTAAGAACATTCCATGGACATTTTCAAAAGCTCAAATGGGGAATAACAGGATGTTTAAGGAAATTAGAGAAAATAATGAATAATTTGAAAAAAATGTATTTCTAAGCAAATAACCTATGAATAATAAAATTATTAAAACTTTTTCATTAAATTCATCCCGACTCTCCTCTACTTTGCTATTTTCAACCATGCCTGGATTGACAGCAGTTTTTTTCTTTTTGATTTGGCCATATTTGCCTTCTCTGCTGAACCTGAAAATAATTTAATCGCTTATTCAAAATGAAAGGCAGATCAATATGAAAATCCAATCTGTTGGTTTAAGTTTATCCTGCTAGACATTATGAATTCACTAACCTTTTAGCTTTGTAGTATTCACTGGAAAACTCCTCTACTTTGCTCTTTTCAACCATGCCTGGATTGACAGCAGTTAGTTTTTTTTTTCTTGATTTGGCCATATTTGCCTTCTCAGCTGAATCTGAAAATAATTTAATCGCTTATTCAAAATAAAAGACAGATGAATAACAAAATCCAAACTGTTTGTTTAAGTTTGCCTTGTTAACCATTATAAATTCACTAACCTTTTAGCTTTGTAGTATTCACTGGAAAACTTCCACCTTTGTCAGACGTAAAAATGGTACAAACTGCAAAAAAATTTTAATATTAATCAGCCACAAACTCACAGAGTCGAATCACAGTCAAATAGCGGAATGATAGAACTTGTACTCGTATAATATGTATATACATATACCATCGAATCATGAACATTGAACACCATGTTTCTTTAATTTTTTTAATAAAACCTGAGCCCTGAGAATATTTCAGTCACATACATCAAAGTATGTGATTTCAGTGCTTGAATCTAAATAAATTAAAAATAATATCTCACTTGTCAACAATGTCTTTCTTGCAAATGACCTTCGTTTTTGTCTATTTGGTCTTCATGTAATTGGATATTGGGACAATGCCATCTTTAATAATTATTTATATTATCTCATTATATATGCTTTTTATATAATATAACCAAATAATAATACAATGCGAATGTGAATCCATGGAAATATAGTAAAGCACGTAGAATTGACGTTCTGCGGATATCTATTTCTTGATGTCCCGAGGATTTACTAAACTGGACATGCTTAGAACGTCCAGAATTGCTCCTGGATGTACAGACGATAAATGTACATGTAATGGACGTCCTTAGGACGTCCTGTGCTATCTGGGTACTTTGATATTTTCTGACAAACATCATAACTTTTTCTTAATACTAATAATACATTTTTTATATACTGTTAACTAGAGTAAACAACGTTGTTTTATATAGTCTTTATTTAAAATTGACGATTGTTCATGACCTATCCCAATGTTTTTCGTAATAATTTGGTTACCAATGCAGGAAGAGACTATTTAAAAAGAAGATCTATGAGATCCGAATTTCTAGGTCTGTGAGCTCCGTGCACAGCACCCTCGGCTCGTGCCTTTTATTAAATCGCCCAGTCAAATTTTGCAAAAAAATATACATACCATAGGAAAAAAAACTGCAGCTATTTAAATTTTACCGGACGGTCACGCAAAGGTTTGGTAGATTATGATTTAAACTTTTTTTAGGTAAATTAGTTAAGTTTTTTTTAATTCTTCTAATTTTATGTATATTTTTTGCGAACCAACCCGAGAGACACTTTGAGCGTAACCTTTTTGGTACCAGGTAATATTTTAAATCTTGAGAGACAACTCCGACCCTGTCCATATATTTACCTATACCGTGATTAAAAAAAACTTTTTCTTTATATTTACTCATAAATAGTAAATTTTTAATAATCTAATATATGATAATGTTCGATTATTTGGTTTTCGATCAATTGCTTTTTCAATCAAATATATTTTCAATCAATTTTCTCTTCGATTATTGTTCTTATCGATCATTTTTGTTTTCGGTTATTTTTCTTTTCGATCAATTGTTATTAGATAAAAGAAACAAAATGTATTCGATCAATTTTAAATGAATGCAATCTTGAAAATAATAGAAATAAAATTTTAATGAACACATACCTCTATTTCACAAATCACGAATATACATATTAATCCCTATAATAATTTAGCTAAAAGCAAATCACGTTCATAGAAATGACCCCGTTTTATGTAACGGCATTAGACTCTTCACGACAACTGTTAATGTCAGTGTAGTTGGCCCTCAAATAATATTTAAAAAAAAAAACTATTTTTGCACCAGAATGCACTAATATAATACACCAATACACTAATATGCACCCATATGCACCAATATGTACCAATGTGCACCAATGTTCACCAATATTCACCAATATTCACCAATATGCACCAATATGCACTAATATACACCAATATGCACTACTAATTGTAGTATGACAAGGTGGCTTATTGATAATAAAGCACGTAGGGTTATGGTGAAAAATCTTTTATTATCGGCACAAGAGAACTAACATATATAACCACATACTTTGATTTTGTGTTTATAACTAATAAACGAATGAACTGATATAATGTTATGAATGTTGTATTGTTTATTCGCGTATGGATAGAAGAATTGTCTTGTATGTACCCACTGAAATGACCAGGGCCGCCGAGAGCCAGGCTGGGCCCCAGGACAATTCTCTAGATCGGGCCCCGTGACAAAAAACAGCTCTTCAAACAAAAACTTTTCCTCTTCTAGTTGAATTGAGTTTCTAAAAAAAAAATCCTCAATTCTTCCTCTGCTTCAATTGCTTTTTCTAAAAAAAAAAACAAAAAAAAACAAAAAAAAACAAAAAAAAACAAACCAAAAACTTCCCCCTCTCGTCTTGCGTGGAATTTCTCATACAAAACAAAAAAAAATCAGTTGTCGGGCCTCCTTTATACCACTGTCGGGCTCCCATTTGAGTCCGGGCCCCGGGAATTGGTCCCGGCTACCCCCCTCTAGTCGGTCCTGGAAATGACCGGCTGTAAAGCCGGCTACTCACTACGCGTTACTTGCCAAGTACTTTGCAAGTACCATGTAATGTGTATGGAGACTTGTATAGACTCTGCAAGTTACTTGTACTTCCCGTCGGTTGTCGGTAAACGGACCGAAGTCAAAGGATCTGAGTAAAGTTACTACTACTACTACTTTAGAAGGCGCGCGTAATGTAGACGTTTACTTGTACTCGAACAAGTACTTGCCAAGTTCAGTCCAAGTCAAGTAACTCGGCAAGTAACGCGTAGTGAGTAGCCGGCTTAATACGTTTATAGACAAAGTAAAAGTTGAAAAGTCTTTTGGTAGGTAGAGAGGTGGTAAACGTCAAACCAAGTCGGGCGGCTCCGAGAATTTCACAGTAATGTTTACCTGCCAGTGTCGTTTCATAGAATAAGTAATTTTAAATTGTTATCGGCGGAACCGGACAATCGCATGTATTTATGGATTATAAATATCAGGAGTGCATACCGGTGGAATATTTTTTTGGGAAAAAAATAAGGTGGGTGCTAAGGGTGGGAGTAACTTCACGGTAAAGAAACAGCTATAACTACTAAAGGGGGGGATGCAAAAATTTTATTTGGTGGTGCATATGAGTACATCAGAAGTGCATACTGATGCAATAGTTTTTTTGCGAATACTATATTGGAGGGTTAACTTCACGGTAAAGAAATTGCTGTAACTACTGAAGGGAGGGGATGCAAAAAGTTTTATTGGTGGTGCATATGAGTGCATCAAGAGTGCATACCAGTGCAATATTTTTTGCGAAAACTTCATTGGGGGACTAACTTCACGGTAAAGAAACAGGTATAACTATTAAAGGAAGGGGTTAAAAAATGTTAATTGGTGGTGCATATGAGTGCATCAGGAGAGCATACCGGCGCAACAGTTTTTCTGCGAAAACTTCATTGGGAGAGGGGCTAAATTCACGAAAATGTTTTATTTGTGGTGCATATGAGTGCATTACAATGGCTAACTAGTGCAATTTTTCACTGGGACAGGCCAGCGTTCTTTGCACCACCCCGCCCCCTCTCCTACAAATAAATAGCTGTAGTTTCTTAAGTAAGGTTTTGCAAAAAAATAATTAGTGGTGCAATATTAGTGCATCACTAGTGGTGCATTCTGGTAAAATAAGTTTTTTTAAAACAAAAAATATGAACAACTTAACTGACCTCAACGGTTTTCGACTGTTTTCAATTATTAGGGCACATATTATCACAATAGAAACGTAAAAAACTATGAATAAAACCTATATTTAGGTGTAAATATCTATAATATCTAAAAATAAAAAATGAGGAAGCTTTATTGTTTGACAAAACTTACCGATTCCAAAGAGGATTCTACTTATGGGACACCCAAAAGAAGGTAAAATAGATGATGAATACAAAACAGTTTTAAAAAGAGAGTATTGTTTTATCATCCGGTTAGCCATAAAAATTTCATCAGAATCAAGTGGTTGAAAAATATCATCTTCCAATAAAGCTAAGGAATCGAAGAACTCATTTCGGTGTAAGAAGAAGCAAAAATTACGAATGTTTGCCAATATTGAAATCGGTAAAACAAAACCGGCTTTTACGATGTCTTCTAAATTGTTAAACTGAAGGGTATCATTGAATTTCATTACATTGTATAACAACAACATAACGTTAACAATTATAAAATATAGTTGAAATAATATATCGTATTTTGTCTTATTCAAATTTACCCAAATTCCACACGTACGAACAATAATTAATTCAATTTTAAAGTTTTTCAGGAATTCTATTCGCATTTTGTACCTACAAGTTACTTCTGTGTATGGAATAATGGCAATACCTATAAATATTGGCGTTGTCTGTATCTTTATACAGGATTTAACAATCAAACAATAGTATTTTTAAACAATATCCTGGTTTTATTCTGGAGACAATAAAAAGCAATTATATTTTTATAAAAGAGAAAGATTCATTATACGTCGAATGGAATTAATGTTGAATAAATAATGAAATGATTAAATGAAACAAATTTTCTTTTAAACATTTTAGTACCCGCCGTTACAACAATAAAATACTGCGTATACAAAGAAATTGGTTCAGTTTCTACAAACGAATAAAAGAATCTACATGGCCACATAAACTATTTTATCAAAAGATAAATTTTGAGAATATGAGAAAATGCCTCGGAAAATGTATTGTGGGAGAAGCCGCACTGAGGAAGTGTGGTGGTTGTATGATGGTAGTGGCTCATGGAGGGAAGATAGTATAGTGGCGTGGCGATGGAGTGGAAATTGTATGGCAAGTAGAATATTTAATGAAGAACATTGGCCTAATAATGGAAGATAATAAATTATTCAATGAGGGAAGGTATTGGTGTATCTACATTTACATACCCTTATTGTCTACAGACTATTTGAATCGTATTTTGCTTTTGTTCTGGTTTAAAATAATTTTTTGATTAAAGTATTAAGAAAAGTCATTCAAGTTTTCTTTTTCCGAAATAGCAGATAAAATAACAGTATTCACTGGTGAAACATCAATAAGATTTACAATAATTAATCGATAATAGACTTAGGGCTGATCTTTTCATCTCTGAGTAAAGTTACATGTAGGTTTACTTGACAGATTGACCACGATACACAGACTTGTGTATCGTGAGATTGACAAACAATAGCCCTACAGTTTAATCAACAAAGTAGTTACTTTCAACTTTACTCAGAGGTGAAAAGACTGGCCCTAAGTGGATTATTCTTTTTAATAAATAATTTCCCGTTATTAACATTGTTTAAATTTATTTACCAAAGCATAAAAATGCATATTTACAACCTTTATTTGGTTTTTAAATTTTCCGCCAGAGTGCGTTTAATAACCTCGCACGGCGCGTCGGGACCACATACTTATAAGGGCCGCGCTACTCGGTGTCGCCACAGAGTGGCGACCACTGGTCGTTCGTGTGGATGTGCTAGCTACTGAGTAGCGCGATTCCATGGTAGGCTCATGTTGGAAGGTAATTAAAATTTGCCAGTGTCATTATGGACTCAGGACCAGAGAGTACTCATTCTAGCGATACTTACGTGCCTTGTTGTTATTTGCACCAGAATCCATTACTTTAAATTTTTTTATGAAAATTACACCAAAGTTCCTCCTAAGCTTTAGTATTTAATGCCCTATTGCTATATTCTTTCGAACTGCTTTTCCAAACCGCAGGACGTTGTTCTATTTCGACTATAAATCGATCTGCATTAAACCATTAAACGTCATATTACTCAATACTAGACCCATAGATAAATTAATAAATTTATTAATTTATCTATGACTAGACCCCGAAAATCAAAATAAAATATCTCTTCCAATGTTTGTAGAAGTCGACGACACAGTCGACAACAAAAGTGGCCCGTGTGGACGGTTCCAGCGACTAAGCGTCGCCACTTCGTCGCGGGGACTCGCTTCTCTTCGCCACAGCCGCTCGCCACAGACGCTCGTCTGGACAGCTTCTACATTTTCACATTGAATTAAATGGCAGGCGTTTACCCGCCACGAAGTGGCGCTACTAAGTGTCGCTCGTCTTGACGGGCTCTAATAGTTAATAGGATACAGACGCGCGCTCCGTGCGAGGTTTCTAAACGCAATGCTGCGTTATTTCTTTAATATCTTAGAAAGCGCCACATAGTGGTTTAGATGTTAACTGCGTTCGAGCTGGTCGTTGTTATGCATGTGCTTTTTATGAGCGTTTCCTATCTTTATGTCCCTTATCCACACACTTCGATTTTTTCTTACTATACGGAGAATGGTCTCACTACGCAGCTTTCTGAGTGCCTTTTAAAAAGAGATAGAAAACTTCGCCATTTTAACGCCTGATGCATTTCATTCATAAAGTATGTTTTGTTTGGTCCCAATCATCGGAAAAGAGAAAAAAGATATTTTATGCGGATCGAAAGAAGACAGACTGTAATCGAAAATCTCGTCTGGCAACGCTGCTGTTGTACGTAACTAAAAGCCTGTTAATACCAGTGGCGTATCTTAATAAAGATAAAATCATAACTAATTAAAAAAAAATAATGAAATACTAACCGATATGGTGTGTGCAATAAACTTTATAATGGTTTAAACTTTAAAACCGATTGGATTTGGAATAAGGGTATAAAGTTCAGTGGAATGTAGGAAAAAAGCTTAAAAACACCATTTTTTTCCAAGAATAATACATTTATTATATATAAAGATGTTAAATAAAATAAAAACAAGATAAATAAATCAAGATTTATTTTAAACAAATTTACGAATTCAATTTTGGGGTTAAAATTTGAACAGTTTTACAAATAGGTAAACGAGGGATTTTTAAATCAAAATTTAGATTTTTAATACTACTAAATTTATAAGTTATTAAATCAATAAATTTACCATACTTATATACAAGGTGGGGATTTTAAATGGAACGCTTCTTATAGCGGATCTGGTAATAGAATTTTGTAAAATCCGAAAACACGTAGAACTGTACAACAATAAACCTATCCATTGATAGTTTTTAACTTGTAAAACTAGGCAGTAAACTAACTTACTTATTATCATCCATAAATGTGTGCGACATAGATCAATTATCTTCTGGTTACTTACTAGAGCTGTCAAAAATACTGATACTGGAATCAGAGCTGTAACAGAGTATTCAGAACTTTTAATGTAAAGGTAAGTATACATTTTGTTTAATAATAAGGTAGTTCATGAAAATAATCAAAGAAAGAGGCATGTAATATGAGTTTATAAAAAAGTTTGTCCTTGCAAAGCACCTACAAAATTTAAAGAACTTACAATATAAAAATTTCTTTGTAAGATAAACTACCAACTTCCATCTTAAAGGATAAACACTTAAATGAACCTTTCCGAAACATAATTAAGAAAGTTTTTAGTTACCTAAATGAACTTTCTCGAAACAATGAACTTAGTTTTGGCAGTGCTCCAGGCTTGAGATATTTGCTTTTTGAAGAATATCAATAGGATCAAAATGCTCCAAGCATAACACTCTTTTTTAGATACCTTCATTTTCTTCAAGTCCTACAAGTGATCGCCAAATATTTCTTGTATGCCTTTCAGTTGGGAATCTAAAAATCAAGCATAAGCTTATTTATTTTACCACTATAGTACAGACTAAAGTGTTTCTATTAATTACAATGTTTTGCGAAAGTAATAATGTTGAAAGATCAAAGAAAATAACAGTAATATAAAAGTAGATAATACATGTGATATTACGGCAAAAATCTTTAAATCTACACCACTGAACTATGCAATACATCATCACCTAACCTTACTTACTTATAAAAAGATACTTCAGCACCCACATTTTCCAGTTTTTTGCTCAAAATGCACTCGCGAACCATGTTGTTAGCTATACACACGCCAAAATTTTTCCAAAAAAGTCTAAAGATTAACAAAAACACCCAGTATGCAACAATTTACTGGATCGCAACGTCGCAAACTATCGATGGATAAAATACTATACGTGACGTATAGAATGAATGAAACAAAGTTATTTTAAATTGCGGGGGTGTCACGTTTAACGCTTTTAAAATCCTTGCATTTATTTGCAGGAATAATAATGGTGTTTGCCATAGTTTATCTTAGTATTTGCAAAGTTGTTATTTAGCAAGCGTATGTATGTAAAAACGATAGGTACAAAAATGCCCTGCCTAATGGTGTAAAAATAGGTACTGCTAAAATATCAAGTCTGCTGAAAGCAGTTAAACTAGATAATCTACTTTGTACACATTTTATACGTTTCTTGTTTTGTTACAAGTCATTTTATTTAGAGATTTATTATTAGAAATGTTTCGGGAAATATTGCAACATCTCGGCTCATAATGCGTAGGAGTTGGAAACACTGCAATAGGTACGAAAATGAATTGGAGGGGACGCTTGATGTGTCGCAATATATCTCGAAACTATTCTAATTAATAAAACTTGTTGCTATTAGTGAGTTATAGGTAAAACCTATTTTTAAATATGAAAGGGATAAACTACACAGCCTGACAACAGCGCACAAGGAAACGCATGTCGGTTCATTTACGAAATAACTACGCGCTACGTTTTAAATGTAAATAGAGGAGCTTTGGTTTTAGTCATGCTTTAGTGGTTATGATATAATATTTACTCAAAGTCAGTCCCCAAAGATATTATTTACGAACCTAACTTGTATCCTAAAGATATCACTTGAGCATAGTTTAAACCATAGTGACTTGTAGATACTCAACCAAAAGTTCTTGGCTTAGTTTATAAAAACCTGTTTACTACCATATTTTGATTTTTTTTACATTCGATTTCCTTTCCTGAATTTTCACCATTTCTTTGCTTGAACTTTTAAAGGGTATAAATAAAAGTTGTCGTTCTTTTTATATAAATTGTTGCAGCTTGTCTGCAAGAGTATATTCCTCTGGTAATATCTTTTAGAGTTTCTTCTATCTTACATTTCTTTGTTATTATTTTATAGTTTCGTACCATATTTACACCTGAAAAAATGCAAAATATAATATTAGATTGTTTAGCCTCAAAGATTTTTATTCCATTACAAAAATAAAATGTTTTTTCATGGGCATGGGACTGGCTAAAAATAACATAATATTAAGGTAAAATCATATGCACAGCTTTGGAAATAATTTAA